CGCTGTCCGAGGCCTCGCGCCGCACGCCCAGCACTCGATAAAGGTCGGCAGTACCGAACACTTCCTCGCACAGCTCCAGCAGCCCCATGGCCAGTAAGGGCAGGGAGCGAGCTGCAAACTCCGCAAAAACTGCCGGTTCCGGCCACACTGCCTAGCGCTCCGAACTGCCTCCTTTTCCCGCGCAAAAATACCCAAGGCGACTGCGTCACTAGAAGCGCCGGAGGGGCGTGGCCAGGACGCCGCACTTTACGGCGGCTGCAACACGGGGGCGTGGCCAGTCTAGAGGGAGTTGCTGTGGGAACTTCCTTCCGCGTGGTTAGCCTTTAAGGCCCAGTGCCAGGATGCCCTCCTCCCCTTACTCAGGAAATCTGGCGCCTATCTTCTCCCCAGTGTCCCAACGCATAAGCTTATTTAATATATGGCAGGTCCATACTACTCGAATCTATATATTGCTGTTTTGTTTGCCTTTTTAATGTAAAAAACTGCATTAGCATTGACGTTTGGCAATTTGATATGGTTCAACGATCCAGACAGGAGTACACAGAACGCGCAGACCCAATAATTTTGCAATCTACAGGCTGGGACTGCTGGGTAAGGGCTTTCCCTCGATTCCTGCAAGAAAAAAAAACCCTAAACCAAAAGCACCAAATACCGGTCTTTTAACTCTAACGTTTATTACAGAATCATTCCCATTTACCTTTCACTTTGGTGAAGGTAACGTGACCCAAACCCTCATCTTAGTAAAAATAAAGATGCTGAAGAAAAAGCTTTTTTTTTTTTTTTTTTTTTAATGCTTTCTAAAGTACAAAGCTGGGTTTGAGCATGTTGAATTTGATGCAATCAACTAGAAGATGGTGAGAAACTGTCAGGAGATCCAAAGCAAGGCTAGAGCTTGAGATAACCTTGGAAATCAGGGACAGGATGAGATCACACAGGAAGTGTGTGTATACAGATCATAGGCAAAGGATAAACCAAAGCACAAAGTGAATACTTGAGTTGGCAGAAACTCAGTAGCTCAAAATAATACCTTAGCTTAACTCATTTCCCAGCAGTTCCCCTTGCTGTTCAATACTTTTCAGAATCATTCTCCTCTGATCTACAATTACAGTTTACCCAAAGATCTTGAACTCTCCAAAGTGGATTCTTATCTTTAACTTCCAGAGTTCCCATGGTTTTCATAGCATTTCTCATTCCCAGATTCCAGATGAAATCCAGGTAGTCAGTTCTTCTTGGCCTGCTCTGCCTTCATAGTTCCCTCAAAGCAAGGGAGGCCAACCAGTGACACCCCTGGGACAGACTTGATGATGCCATAGCGAGATCGCTGGTAACTGTTCTCAGGATACAAAACCCAGACAATAAAATAAGTTGGTACATTGATAGCCCTTTAGTATCTCCTCTATAAATCTCCCCACCCTGGTCTCATGCCAGAATTTGAAATCTGTACTATCCAGGGTGTGCACTAAAATTCTCCAATCCGTGCCCGTGGTTGTCCTGCAAAATGGTGGACCAGATAATGTGACACCTTGGGTTTTGGGCACAGCCCATCATTTATATTGCCAAATTCATCATACCTAAACCTCATCCTATCACTGGCTTTTTCAGTGGACTTTTGAAAAGCTCCTCATCTTTGCTCATCTCACACCCACCCTGCCCCAGACACTCTAATATGCTGTAAAGGGCTCTCCAGGTATGCATAGTGGGCTCTGAATCCTAGCTCTGCCCAAATGAAAATAGGTGGCTTTGGTCAAGTTTCCACCTCTCAACCTCAGCCTCCCATCAATAAAACAGAGACAATCCTACTCACTTTCATGATACCTAATAATCCTCACAAATAACCCTACTTGTAAAGAGCTGAGAATGTACATAGGTACTTTTCAATATTACCTTTCTTCCATTTTCATATTCTTAAAATAGGCTCTTATAGCCTAAAAGCTCATTAAAAACTCTACCTTTGTAGGGCGGCTGGGTGGCTCAGTCAGTTAAGCGTCCGACTTCGGCTCAGGTCATGATCTCATAGTTCTTGAGTTCGAGCCCCTCGTCGGGCTGAGAGCTCGGAGCCTGGAGCCTGCTTCGGATTTTGTGTCTTCCTCTCTCTCTGCCCCTCCCCAACTCATGCTCTATCTCTCTCAACAATAAATAAACACTAAAAAATTAAAAAAAAATCTGCCTTTGTAAATTTGAGATTATGTGTCAAACAAGACAATATAAATTTATAATTACAAAAAAATAATAATAAGCAAAGTGTGTCTTTGAGCTAGTGAGATGACCGTAAGTGATTAAGGAAGGAATTACTCTGATGGACCATGGACAGGCTGGCTGGGGGCTGTCAAACAGGGGTCTTGGAAGGCAACAGATTGTAAAGTTGCCCAAGAGATCCAGGGCCCAACCCAAAGTCCAACACACCCCATAGTCACGGTCTTTCTCCCAGATGAAGGCTGAAAAATCGAATTAGTACCTAGACCCAGATTTATGTCAGAAAGAACAAATCTCTCCCTGAGCCCTGCTCAGGCCAGGCCAGAACATGGGTGACTTGGAAAACTCCATTTATTGACCTCCAAAGCTAATAAAACTAAGTGCTCTGCACAGGTGTTTTAAGAGAACTTTGACCTTATTCCCAATGCTCTGCTCAAGCTCAGCTGAAGTCAGCTCGTTTTTGTTTCTGTAGCTTCTGTGTCTGTTTTCTGAGATGCTAAGAGGACTTCACGTGCTCGTTTCCTTCGCAGCCTCTCAGCATTTGTGATCATCATGGGATGCAGAGGGAAGAAGCCAGAGAGACCTAAAAAAAACAGGATTTTCACTCATTATAACGTGGAAAAAGGAGTCTCCACATTCAAAATGACAATTAGAACACAACTTCAGCTCTCACTCCAGTCCTGATCAGCCTGAGGTAATGAAAGTCATTCTTAACTACTATCATCCTGAAACTGACTTCAATTTAAAGTCCCCTCAATGAAGTAAGGCTAGAGCTAGGTTACCCAGAAGCTTCTCCACAGGCTTAGAGAGGTGAGCCCCACAGCCAATCCAATGCCGGATCCGGTCCAGGTTGAGAGCAACGATTTTCTCTCCATGACTGTTGGGCAATGGATCATAGGAGCCCAGCTGCTCCACGAAACGGCCATCCCTAGGGCACTTGTTGTGAGCAGCCACAATGCGGTAGAACGGCCGGTTGGTACAGCCACTCAAGGCAAGGCGGATGGTTAAGTGGCCTCCATGGTAGGCCTTGCAGAGGACAGTAGCTATAGAGAAATAAATGGTTAAGACACAAGAACTGAGTACACAAAATGGACAAAATGAGTTAGATAAACAAGCCCCTTCCTCAACTGTGGTATCTTTACATCCAACCAATTATTGTCAATCTGGTTTAAATATTATATTCTTTGTGAAACTCCTCTCATGCTCTTCAACGAGAAGTGACTATCTCCTCGTCCCTCAATCCACTCAACACCAGCCTGCCATTTAATAGCTCTGCAACCACGACGGAGCCTCAGCTACCTCATCTATAAACAAAACGCCATTTGTCTCATAGGTTTTCAGCAAAGATTAAGGAAGAAAAAACTGAGGAGAGAGCTAAACGTAAGGTTGTGTGGCTGTTTCAGGTTGGGGTGGCCTCCAACTCGCCCTGGAGAGAGCTGTTTCATTCCTCTGGTCCCATATGCCACCCCCGCCCCATACGCCAACGAGCTCCGCCCGGAAGCTCACTCACTGAGCTGGACCATGGTGCAGCCGGCGTGCGCCGCGACTTAGGGCGCCAGGTGCCGCGCCTCGCAGCGCCCCGCTGTCCGCACTGATCAGCGCTACGGCTTGGGAAGGGCGAAGGACGAACACCGGAGTCCACACTGCCGAACCTGGGGCGTGACCTGTCCGTGACCCAAGCCCTAGAGCCCTGGTGGCGGAAGCAGGATCCACTCGCCCCGCCTCTTCCGCTTTTCGCTCCTACCCTTCCCATAAGGCAACGTCGCGAACCCTAATGTACCTTAAACTGCTGCAAAAAAGGCGCGCTGCAGTTGCGTGTAGGGGGGGTGGTAGTGCGAGCCGAGCTGAGTGACAGTGGGTTCCTGCTAGAGTGAGGAATATTGGGAGAATCCAGGGGAGCGGCCAGGAGAATTGCTAAAGTGCTCTTGAATACATCCTTCCAGGGAACGTGTTTTGGGCACCTGTTTAGAGCCAAAGCCACTGCTGAGAAGGCCTAGCTGAAAGGGCGCTGTCCCTGCCCCTAGGAAGCTCATAGTCACGTGGGGGAGACGCTGAGCCCACACCAGAGTTGCTAAAGGTGGTCAGTATACAGTCCTGGGGCAGCGGAGGAGGAGGCGAACCCGATACTTCCTTGGTGCCTCAGGAAGATTTCATAAAGGAAGTAGCGTTAGAGTCGAGGCTATAGAAGAACAATAAATGAATGTGGAGTTTATTTTATCTTTCTATGTTTATTAATATGCCTTTCACTTTCCCTCCTATTCCTCCACCTCCCTCCTCTGCACCTTCTTTAAAAAAAATAAGAGAAAGGAGTCTTTATTTCTGGTTTTGCTATGCAGTGATCTAGAAGAAAAGGAGTGAAGGATGGTTCCTTTGTCATCTCTAACCCTAGAATAATGGCCTCAGTTGTGAGTTTTCCATCTATTATAGAGTAATGGACTCTTCTTGGAGCCCTTGTGATTTAGATCCATAAAGATACCCGGGATTAGAGGTAATGAGCAAAGACCTCTCTGTTCAGCTCTGTTCACCATTGAATCCAAAGGGTCTGGTCACAACTAATGTGTTTGTCCTAATACAGTGACCCAGCATTGCATTCTTACTTTAGGCCCACTTTAGAAATTGATACCTTAATTCTCAAGTTCCAGGAAGTAAACCAGGCCAGAGACTTTAGCAGTTGACGTCCTAAAGGAGTGATCTGATAAGCTTTTACCAGAAACCTTAATAATGAACCCACTATACCTTAATTATAGAAATAATTATGTTCTTACATATACCTCAGTATACCTTAATTAACTCCAGAACCACACTGATGAATTTTTAATCTCTTCCATTTTTTATTGTCATCTAGTTTACTGTCATTTGTAAAACATCCCAGGGAGGGCTATCCAGTAAGATAGCCCATGGAAATAAATGAACGAGTTTCTGTTCATGGTGTTGTCCATTCCCAGGCCTCATGTGATGAAATATCCAGGGTTTAATTTCTCTGGGAAGGAAAGAAGCTCAGAGTCCCATACAGAATAGTCTTCAGCTGGAAGTATGTCAGAAAGATGGATTTCCAAAGCCAACTGCCTCCTGTACCATGTGGATCTCTGCAAGTAGAGTCTCATCTTTCAATTTCAGCTGCGTAAGAAGATGGAAGGGAAGGAGACATGTCATACCTGATATATCTTTGTGGAAACCCCTCATTTACAGGGCCACAGTTAAAGAATATAGTTCCTTGGCATGAAATTGGCTCTTCCCGTATTCCCTATTTCATGGTAGCTCCATTAAAAGACCTCAGAACATTGTGCTTACATGGACACATTCACTTTATGAAAATTCAAGTAGTATAAACATTTGCAATTTGTGTATTTTTTTGTAAAATAACTTTAATAAAGTTTACTTTTAAAAGAGTTCACATCATCACCCAATCTATCTTGACTATAATATTCCAATTTGGCAAGTGACAGGAATCAAAGATACTAGATTTAATTTTAGACTCTAGATGTGTAGTAAAGATGTCTAGTGGCTACTAAATACCCACTCTCCTTTCTTACTAACAAAATCTTCACTTCTTTTCAGGGCAGGAATTCAGCTAGCTAAAAATCTCCATTCCCTTCTTCCCTTAGATCTAGGGGTAGTCTTACGACAAATTGTGGCTAATGAAATGTCAGCTAAAGTCACTGCTGCTTTTTTCCCCCCCAAAAGGAGATACTTTTCTCTGGAAATGATTTTCTTTACCATCAAATTCTATGTACTTGTGAAACATCTTTATTTTTTTAATCTGAGTGTAGTTGACGTACAATGTTACATTAGTTTCAGGTGTAGAACACAGTGATTCTACAAGTCTATACATTACACTAAGTATAGCTAATAAGTATAGCTACCATCTGTCCCACACACTATTACAATACCATTGACCATATTCCCTATGCTATATCTTTTATCCCCATAAAGTCATTGCTTCATAATGGAGGTGAAATAGCTAGCATGTTTTCTTTGTTCTTTCCTCCCTTTTGTTCTTTATTGTGCCTGAAACATGTATGTGGTGGCCTGAGCTACAGTGGCTGCCTTGCAACAATGAAGGATGGGAACTGCATGCTGTGACTGAAGCAAAGAGATAGAGTTTAGGTCTTTGATGACATTGTGGAGCTGGGATCCCAGCCCTGGGCTTTTCATTAGATAAGAAAAATAAAACTCCCAATTTTTTTAAGCCACTATCTTTCGAGTCAAATTATCTGTAATTCATAATTAATAGAATACAATGGAGGTTGGCAAACTACTGCTCATGAGCCAAATCCGGCTGGCTGCCTGTTTTTGTAAGTAAAACTTTTATCTGAAACACAACCATGCCCATTTGTTAATGTATTGTCTATGGCTCCTTTTGCACTACGAGGGAAGAGCAGTAGATGCAATAGAGACAGTTTGGCCCACAAAGCCTAAAATATAAATAATCTTGCCCTTTACAGAAAGTGTGCTGATCTGTGGACTAGACCAACACCTTCAGTCTACACACGAGGAAAATGAAGCCCAGAGAGGTTAACACAGTAAAGTTAGTGGCAAAACTAGGACCATAACTCAGGTCTCCTGACTCCCAGGCCATCTGTCTTTCCATTAAACCAAATTCTATAAAGAGGTAGAAAAAAGGTCCCCCATAGTAATATATGGGTCATTCCAATATATGGGTTATTCCAAACCCAGCAGCAAATGGCAAAGATAGTAAGAAGAGCCTCTAGAAAAATATTCACATCATGAAATGTTGTAAAGTCTTGAATTAAGGCAGCATCTTCCTCCCAGTTTTCCAACCTCAGTACAAGCAGCAGAGGCACCTGCATCATACCTTCATTGTGTACTTGTAGGCCTGCTCAGCTTCCAGTTCCCGTCCAGCCTGAAAAAGAGAGCAGCAGCCGGTGATGATGACATATCATAAACATTACGGTAAGAAAGTACAGTGCCACAAACATTTCTACCAAAACATAGGATTACCCTCTGGATTCAAAGGGGGAACAAAAACGAAAGGTGATATCAAAAAGCAGATATCCTTGTATATATATGTGTTGCAAATGTATACACACATGTACGCGCGCGCGCACACACACACACACACGAGATATATGAATATTCCTTCTTCATTTTAAAAATCTTAAAAATAACTTGGCCTCTCATTTTTTTCCCCCTGAAAACACCATGAGTCATTTGTTTCTCTCAGGATTGAAGCCATTCTGTTAACAATAGCTAAAACTTACATAATGCTTACTTTGTGATTCATACTGTTTTAATTGTCTATATTGTTTTAAGTGCTTTACACACTTTCATTCCTAGTCCTCAAAGTAATTCTAGGAAAAAAACTGCTATTATTTATAATTCCATGTTCACAGATAGAAATACCTAGGCATAGAGAGGATAAATAAATGCCCAGGGTTACGAAGCTAGTAAGTGGAGGATCCAGGTGTTAAAACAATGCAGTTTGGCTCCAGAGTCCCAAGGTTTTAACTATTGCACTTTATCCTGTCTCTATGCATTAGAAAAAAGCAAATACTGGAATTGCTTCCATGCATATCTGGATATGAGATGAGGACACCTAACTATTCCTCCCAGTTATTTTTTGCATGAAGCACATCTAGGTATTAAATGAGAATAATATGAATTCACTATTATACTTAACAAGTTTGTGCATAACAAATTAGAGTATACAATGTCACTTGGGAAATACATAAATATGAAATACATGCATAATACCTAGTATTAAATAAATATGAAAACTACAGAATGTTCAGGCTAGAAGGAAACTTAGAAAGTATCTAGTCCAAATTCCTGATCAGTGCCAGTTCATGATAAATTTTTACTAGTTCACAAAACTTTCACTATTTAAGAGACTTTCCTAGGGGTGTCTGGGTGGCTTGGTCGGTTGAACACCTGACTTCACCTCAGGTCATGATCTCATGGTTCGTGGGTTCAAGCCCCACATCAGGCTCTGTGCTGACAGCTCAGAGCCTGGGGCCTGCTTCGGATTTGGTGTCTCACTCTTTCTCTGCCCCTCCCCTGCTCATGCTCTGTCTCTCTCTGTCTCTCAAAAATACATAAACGTTAAAAAATTTTTTAATTATTAAAAAAATAAAAATAGGGGCGCCTGGGTGGCTCAGTCGGTTGAGCGTCCAACTTCAGCTCAGGTCACGATCTCGCGATCCGTGAGTTCGAGCCCCGCGTCGGGCTTTGGGCTGATGGCTCAGAGCCTGGAGCCTGCTTCGGATTCTGTGTCTCCCTCTCTCTCTGCCCCTCCCCCGTTCATGCTCTGTCTCTCTCTGTCTCAAAAATAAATAAACGTTAAAAAAAATAAAAAAATAAAAATAAAGGACTTTCCTATAATATATACACTTCAAAGACATCCCCACCTGAAGTTCACTGAATTCCAGGGACATTTTCTAACACATCTTCCTTTCCTGTCACTATTACCTTTGTTTCATTTCTGCTGGGATCCAAATGATGTGAGGATCCAGAACAGCCAAAACAATTTTGAAAAGAGTGACATTTTTTGTTTGTTTGCTGTTATGGAAAATGCTGTAATAAACATCCTTGTACATGTCTTCTGGTATTTTTCTTAGGAATATCTAGATATAAAATTGCTAAGTTATAGGTAAGAATTTGGGTAAATAATGCCATATTGCACTTCAAAGTAGTTATCAATTTATATCAACAATTCTGAAAGTCCTTATCAATGTTGATATCAGACTAATTTTCCCCTGTTTAATGGGTGTGAATTTCTGTCACAATGTCATTTTAAATTGCATTTTCATGATTACAAGTGAGGCAAACTTCTTATCATAAATTTATTGACTTTTACAATTTCCACTTCAGCAAATTGTATATTCCTATCCTGTGACCATTTTTCAATCAGATTGTTTGTATGTTTTTTTCTTATTGTAGGGCATATTACATATTTATATAAAAGCTATATTATATAATTACATAAACTGTAATGAGTTATAAATTCTGCAAGTATTAAAGTCCTTAAGCTTTATTTTTGTGTCTTTTGTTATGCATGAGTTTCTATTTTAAAATTGTTAATTTAGGGGTGCCGGGGGAGCTCAGTCCCTTAAGGACTGACTCTTGGTTTCAGCTCAGGACATGATCTCCCCGTTTCATGAGTTCGTGCCCTGCGTCAGGCTCTGCGCTAGTGTGCAGAGCCTGCTTGGAATTCTTTCTCTCCCTCTCTCCCTGCCCCTCCCCTACCTGTGCTGTCTTTTTTTTTTTTTTTTTTTTTCCAACGTTTATTTATTTTTGGGACAGAGAGAGACAGAGCATGAATGGGGGAGGGGCAGAGAGAGAGGGAGACACAGAATGGGAAACAGGCTCCAGGCTCTGAGCCATCAGCCCAGAGCCCGACGCGGGGCTCGAACTCCCGGACCGCGAGATCGTGACCTGGCTGAAGTCGGACGCTTAACCGACTGCGCCACCCAGGCGCCCCAGCCTGTGCTGTCTTTGTCTCTTTCAAAATAAATAAACTTTAAAAAAAAGGTTGCTAATTTTATTTTTGGTATTTTATTTTTGGCTAGTGCATTTACAGTCATAAGAAAATTTGCACACCCCGAGGCTATAGAGGTATTCTCTATATTTTCTCCAAAGCAATCCAAAGTTTTAAGATTTAGGCCTTTAAACCAGTTGGAAGTATGTATGCATCCACGTGCATGTTTGGTGTGAGGTAAGGAACTAATTTTCTTCACATGGATAGCCAGTTGCTCCATCTGTATTTATTGAATAGTCCATTTGTTCCTCATTTTGGGGGGCTATACAATCTTTAAAATTGGCTTTATTGAAGTATAATTTACATACCATAAAATTCACTGATTTTAAGGTTCAATTGTGCAACCATCACCACCACAATCCAGTTTTAGATGATTTCTATCACTCCCAAAAAGCTTACTAACCTGAGTCCAATATTTGTATAGAGGTTTTTTTTTTCCTTTTTAGTCTGAGAGTATATATTTCAAATAATTTTTCAAAAGTATCTTTAAAAATTTTTTAAAAACATTTTAATTTATTTTTGTGAGATAGAGAGACAGAGCACGAGCAGGGGAGGGGTAGAGAGAGAGGGAGACACCAAATCCGAAGCAGGCTCCAGGCTCTGAGCTGTCAGCACAGAGCCCAATGTGGGGCTCGAACCCATGAACTGTGAGATCATGACCTGAGCCAACGTCAGATGCTTAACTGACTGGGCCACCCAGGTGTCCCCCAAAGTATCTTGAGTTAGTTTTCTTTTTCCCACCTTCAGTGCTGTTATTCATGGGAAGTAGTTTTGTTGTTATTATTATGATATGAATTATACAATCTCCCTGTTTCTTGTTGAATTTCTTAAAAAAATGAAACATTAACATGGTTCCAAAAGTTAGATATGTACAAAAAGTATAATCAGAGTGTCACCCACTCATTGCCTCCCTTGTACTCTATGTCTGCCCATGTCCTAAAGGACCCACTCTCATTAATCTGGTTTTTCCTTCCTGTGCTTTTTTTGCACAAATGAGCCAACCTGTAAATGAATTCTTCTTTTTCCCTCCTTTTTATACAAAAGATGGTATAAAATCTTGCACTTTAGTTTTTTCACTAAACACTATATCATGGAAATCACTCCACTTCAGTTCATAGAGATCTTCTCCATTATTTTTTTCAGTAGCTTAGTACTCCATTATGTGGATATACCATAGTTTATTCAAATATTCTCCTATGTATGTTGTTTCCAATATTTTGCAATTGCAATAACACTGTAATAAACATCTTGTGCTTGTGTAGTTTTTAGTTGTTGGAGGAAGAGTTTCAGGGAAAATTCCTAGGAAACCCCATTATTTTTAAAAACCATCTAATTGGGGCGCCTGGGTGGCTCAGTCGGTTAAACGTCCGACCTCAGCTCAGGTCACGATCTCGCGGTTCGTGAGTTTGAGCCCCGCTTCGGGCTCTGGGCATGGCTCAGAGCCTGGAGCCTGCTTCCGATTCTGTGTCTCCTTATCTCTCTGCCCCTCCCCCGTTCATACTCTGTCTCTCTCTGTCTCAAAAATAAATAAACGTTTAAAAAAAATTTTTTTAAACCATCTAATTAAAACCTAAGTTTCCACATATATGTGGGTCTACTTCTGTCTAGCAGTTATGTTCCACTTACCTATTCCTACCCTAATATAACTCAGTTTTAATTATCAGAGCTTCACAATAAGTCTTAATATTTGGTACAAAAGTCTTCACCTCTTATTATCCTGTCCATATTGTCACTATGATTTTTTGGCCTTTATTGGGCAAGTGAATTTTAGGGTTACTTGATCAAGTTCCTAAAAAAAAAAAAAAAAAACACCTGTTATTATTTTTATTGGAGTATTAAAATTAGACATGTGGGAATATTTTCAACTTTATGTTCTTAAAACCTCCTGTCCATGAACATAGATAGTATCCTTATTAGATCTTCTTTTATGTCCTTCAGTAAAGTTTTACACTTTCATCCATAAGATCTTGAGTGAGATTTTTAAAGTTAGACTTTCAAATTGATTGTTGCTAATGATCTTTGATTTTGATGATATTGATTTTTATATTAATATTTTTTCCAGCAACTTTGCAAATCTACTTCTTTGTGTTAATCTTTATTGAACAGATAATACATATACATAAGTAAAAATCAAAAGGATATAATCAGATATATAGTAAAAGGTCTTGCTTCCACCCTGACCCTATCCACTCTGTTCCCAACTCCTTCCCCCAACAATAACCACCATTCTTTGTTTTTTGTCTACTCTTTCAGTAGTGAAACTTTTTATTCATCTTTCAGTTTGTAGATTCCCTTTTAATCCTTTTCCCCCAATTTCTTTTATGAGTATGTGTGTTGTTGGCATGGTGGAACTTCCAGTACACAAG